GCTCTAATTTTAATTAATTTCTGTCTTCTGTTGATTTAGGTATTGGTTTGTTCTTCTTTTACTGGGGCCTTGAGATAGACTATTAGATTATTTATTTGTTATCTTTCTATTCTTCTGATGTATGAACCAAGTTCTGTAAATTTTCCTCTTAGAATTACCTGCATACTGTTGTAGATATTTTAATATGTGGTATCACTTGTCTCATTTACTTCTCAGAATTTTTAATTTCTCCTCTGATTTCTTCTGCTATCCATTTATCATTCAAATGTTTATTTTTTTTTTAATTTCCAGGTTTTAGAGTGGTTTCTTTTTTTTAATCTTACTGATTTCTAGTTTCATTCCATTATAATCTGATAGAACTCAAGGTATTATTTCATTTTTTGGTATTTGTTATGATATGCTTTGTGAACAAAATAGAATCTATTTTAGAAAATGTTCCATGTGGTGCTATGAAGAAAGTGAATTCAGTTATTGATGGATAAAATCTTCTATAGATGTCTGTTAGGTCAATACTACTAATTATGTTTTTTTTTTTAATTCTGAAGAATTTTTACTTCGTTTATGTCCAGATGATCTATCTAGTAGAGAGAATGGTGGGTAAAGTCACCCAGAATTATTGTATTGTGTTCTATTTGATTCTTAATATTGAGAAGGATTTGTCTTATGTGTGTAGATCTATCATTTAGGGGGCATAAACATTACAATCATCATATCTTATTGTTGTATGATTCCCTTCAGCATATGTAGTGAATTTTTTTGTCTTCTGCTTACTTTTGGCTTGAAGTCCACTCCCTCTGCTATAAGAATAGCCACCCTTGCTTCCTTACAAGTACCATTTGCGTGTTATGTCTTTTCCTGTCCTTTCACCTTCTGTCTATGAATGTCTTTGCCTGTGAGGTGGATTTCCTGCAAACAGCTATTGTTAGGTCTTGTCTTTTAATCTAGTTTGCCAACCTAAGTCTTTTGATTGAAGAGTACAAATACCAATTACATACAAACCAAGATTCAACAAGAAATTTTTCACCTAGGTATGGTTTACTGTAGATAACTCCAATGTCAACTTTGCCTATTTTCTATATGTATATTTCCTTAACTTGATTGATAGTTGTTACCTAATAGCCAACACTGTACCTTCATCCATTTTGAATGTATTTTTTCTAATAAAGCATTACTTGGAGTCAACACATCCATCTTTGTTTGCCTAGCTGTATGTAGTCTCTTCTTGCTCTTCTTATCCCCTGTCTTCTTACATTGTCTTCTGTTACCTCAAATACCTATCATTCATCTATTTTTTTCTTTCGATTATGGTGTGGATTTTTCTTTTCTTTCTTTCTTTTTCTTGTCTTTTTTACCCAATTTTTCTTCTTCCCCTCTTTTAGCCTTCATTTAATATTACAGCAATTTTACTAAATTTAATATATATTTTTAACCTATTCCAGAACTTCACCACACCTTTATACCTGGATTAAAGGAACTAGGGAGAACAATATCAAGAAACTTTGCATTTGCATTTTTTTAGGTGGAATAGTATGAGGCTTGGCTCTGAAATGATTATAATAAATAGGGCTCAGTGGAATCTCTCAAAGTGGTGCTGATATTGGGATCAGCAGAGGTCACACATTGAGTTAAAGTATCAATATCTGTATCTGCCCAACCAGATTTCTTAAGATAAATAGCTCACAAAGTAGCCCTTGCTTAAAACAAGAAATGATGACTCTCCTAGAAGATGGGTAAACATACAAACAACATGAAAAGGCAAGGGAGTAATCCACAAATAGCCCATAGTGCTTCAACATCTGACTCCATTAAATACACAGTGGAGGAAATGTCAGAGAAAAAATTTAGAAAGTTTATAATTAAAATGTTATATGAATGAAAAGAAGGTATAATGATTGAAATTAGAAATAAAATATATAAAGTGAAAGGTCAATAAAGAGATAAAAATTCTGAAGAAGAACCAAACAGAAATCCTGGAAATGAAAGACTCAATAAACCAAGTTAAAAATTCAATGGAAGGCATCATTAATAGATTAGACCATTTTGAAGATAGATTTACAGGCCTTAAAGAGAAAGCATATAATATTGAATGTACAAATCAAACATAAGAAGAAGATGAACAGAATATTCAAGAAATTTGGGATAACATCAAGAGGCCACACTTAAGAATCATTGGAATAGATGAGGATGCTGAAATCAAGCTCAATGGATGCACAACCTTTTCAGTGAAATAATGTCAGAAAATTGTCCAAACCTTAAGAATGAAGTGGGAATTCAAATACAAGAGGCATATAGGACTCTAAATATACAAAATCACAATAGATCCCCTCTAAGACATATGATCATGAAAATGCCCAACATACAGAATAAGGAGAGAATTTCAAAGATGCAAGAGAAAAGCAGCTGGTCACATTTAGGGGCAGACCCATCCAGATTTCAGTTGATTTCTCACAGCAGACCCTATAACCAGGAGGGCTGGGAATAATAAATACCAAGCTCTGAATGAATATAGATGCTAGCCAAGAATAACATGTCCAGCAAAATTAAGCTTCAGAACTGAAGATGAAATAGAAAAACTTCCATGATAAGCAGAAGCTAAAAGACTTTATATCCAGAAATCCCACACTACAAAACATGCTCAATTAAATATCTCATGAAGAAGAAATGGAAAATAAAATGAAAACCAGCATACGGGTGAATTACACCAGAGTAATCAAGTCCAACTTAAATATTAGAAACACATCAAAATGGAATAAAATAAACAGCACCTCTCTATAATAACACTGAACATATACCTTGATAATCTCTTTAAAAATTAAGTGTGTGTTTAAAAGACAAAATATTCTGAATTTTGTGACTCTTCTTCAAAATAAAACATGATAAAATACAAGGAGAGTTGAACAATTTGGGGGATTATATAATTCAATCTATAAATGAAGCAATTGAATACAAGCAATTCTAAACTCTGCTGTTTTAAAGTACCTTCTGATGGACATTGTTGTGAATGTTCCCAGGAAAACAACGCAGGTGCTCTATTAAGTGAAGGAATGTGGACAATCACAGTTTCTCAGGGTGGATCATTTTCACATTGTTCTTCTCTTAAGAATAAAAAATACTGAAAGTTTGTAAATTCCCCTCTTGCTCTTGCTTCCCTCTGTTAGTCCCATAAAATACACAGACAATGGACTCAGACTCATCTTTAAAGATGTGGCCTTTGAGACACATGGCATTTAGGTGATTTGTCAGGTTATGTGACAGGATTAAAGGGATGATATTGTACATTTGGGACCAGGCTCTTTTGCTTATGCCAAAAAAGAAATAAGTGCAAGCCCCATACTCTTCTGAACTCATGGGATCACCCAAACAAGGAGGCTCAGTTGAGGAGGACAAGATTAAAGAACAGTGACCCAATGCTCCAACACTGCGTCCCAGAGGCAATGGGCAGAGGAGTGGAGGGCCGGCTCAGTCCTGGCCCTGGCCCTGCTGGGGCTAGTCTGGGCTGAGGGTGCCGTGCTCTACCTCCACAGCTGCAGGTACCTGTCACTCTGCTCCTCACTGATGGCCGCTCTGTCTGGGCCACTCCCTCATCTTTTCAACTGCCATCTTCTTCTCGAGATCCTTTCTGTGAATTTCCTCCTTTGTGGAGTTTTTCTCCAGCGGGACTTTGAAAACAGGAAAAAAGCCATCAACATTAATACGGTCAATTGCTTTTCTTTTTATTTGACTTTAAAAATCTCACTTTTCAGGAGAGAGGAAAGAAATGGCAGATAATCAGCTTTTACTCTATTGAATCAGAAAGAAAAAAAATAAAAGTGTCAATAGAACATCTGTAACTGCAGTGAGGATCAGAAGTCTGTGCACCACCTCAGTCTTCTGTAACTGTGGTCCGTAAATTTCATCAGATCATTGCTAAAAACGGCATTTCCTGTTAGGTTTGTTGATGTCCTGACTTAGGGCCCCAGGTTCTTCCTCCACTGGGCAGGATGAGGCCCAGGACTCTGCTGGCATGGATGTGCGCATGCGCCGTTTGCATTGGGGACCGACCCTGGAGCAGTGGGGAGGAGGAAGTGGCCTCCAGAGTGGGGGACTGCAGTGGGAGCCCCTTGGGCTCCAGCTCTGCTCATTTTTGTTGACTAAAGTTAACCAGCTGCACTGAGGCCCCAGCACAATCCAGAGGGTGCCCAGGTCCACAGACACACTCCGCCCTCCCAGAGCACTGGCCTCCTTCTGAAAAACCAATCAACAAAAACCTGGACTCAGAGATGGAAATGGTCAGAGGGAAGGGGACAGGAGCTGGCAGGAGCCCAGGAGGCAACGCAGAGGGAAGGGGAGGAGGGCATCCCTCTCCCCAGGGCTCCCCTCCCCTCCTTTCCCCTTCCCCTTTTAAAAACAAGTCTCCCCTCTCCACTCTTCTGCACATGTCTAGATGTGTTTGGTACAAAACCTGGGACGTCAAGATGCTTGTTTAAACTCGAGAACAACTCCAGGGACCAGGCATGGGGCCCGCTTCATCTGCACCGCTCATGGGTGTATCCCGCACAGCTGCCCATTCATCCACACACACGCACTTGCTAAACTTTAAGTCACTGAATGAACATGTGAATAAAGGAGTGAGCAACTTCTATTTTTATCTAAAAATTTTTGCGACATAGCAAATATAGAAAACTCTGCAATCACTGTACCTAAATTGAGAGCAATCTGCCCAAACATGCTGGTGAATGGTAATGATGTGTGGAATCTGCCATCCCTGTGGAACAGAGGTGTGGTGGCATAAGGTGAGCTGTGCCCTTCTTGCTTTAACTCTGCCGCAACTCCTGAGAGATGCGATCTGGCTGCATCTTTGGCCTGGCATTGACTTCCCAGGCTCTCCCGTTTCCTTTCTTGCTCTGTGTCCCATTTTTTAGGGGTGGGTAGGAAGGCTGTGGCTGTTAATGTCCTGAGGACAAAGCATGTGTGTGATCCTCAAGTCTCACCTGCTAATGGTTTTATTTTCTCTTTTCCAGTGAAAAAAGCAATTGAATTGAAGTCAAGAGGAGTCAAGATGCTACCCAGCAAGGACAGCAGCCATAAAAACTCTGTGTGTAAGTTCCCTTTCTTTCTCTATGAGGATGGGGACATCAGTTAAAGGGGGGCATGGAGACGAGAATGGAGCCGGTAATAAGTAACTTGCAAATGCTTTCCCCACTACATCTCCTCCAACTCTTCTACCTTCAGCATTGTTCTTGGGAGATGGAACAGTACTTGGTCTTGTTGGGGAAGAATGACCAATGATTCCCCTTCCTAAAGGCATCTCAGAAGTGTCCTCCCTACACCCCACGCACATCGCCACCCTCTGAGGCTAGTCTCCCAGAGTCTCCTGAGCTTCGCCCTGGCAGAGGTGCTGCTGCCCGTCCTCTTCCAGCAACCCCACACCCTGGACTGCTCTTTGGCAAATGGGAGTTGGGTCTCGCCCCTCTCCTACTGAGATGCTCTTGACCATCCACTGCCTGGAGTGTTGAAGAATTTGGGGGCAGTGCTTTTTCCTTCCAAAGAGCAAACCAGAGCTGAAGATGGCCTCCTGCCCGTCCAGGAGCACATACCCACACCAGCAGGCACGTGGTGGAGCCTCCTCCACTGTCCCCCTTGCCCAGAAGTCCTGGGGACCACCTCTGTTGCTGCTGTGCATTTGCTCCTTTCTCGGGGTGCCACCATCTCTCATGGTGGCTGCAGACTCATCCTCTGCAGCCCTTTCTGTCTTCTCCAGGATGCTCTGTGGAGAGGGAGACAGAGTATTTATAATAACTATGAAAATCCCTTTTATGATTGAAAGCCCTGCAGAAATGATCTCAGTTCAATGTAAGTCACATATCAAATGAAGCCCTTCTATTAAATCAATACCAGGTCCTATATCAGGTCAACTGGCTATCAGAGTGATCTGTTGGCATGACATTTAGGGAGTTTATTTATGGGAATAACTCTTCTGTCCTTATCTGGACATGCATTGGCAAATACATAAATTACACATGTGGTATTAGAAAGTGCTCCGTGCCGTCTCCAAACAGCATTGAAGTATTTTTGTCAGACATTAGCATTAATCAGTAAGTAAATGGCAAGCCATCTAAGACCAGCAGTGTAATCAATGGGAACATGTTACTTCTGTTTCTTAGAGGAAAAGATGGAAGTTCTGAACCAGAGAACCAAGGGGGCAGTAGCTGTGGAAGTTCCCATCTGATTCATGTCCAAGTTCACCCCTTATAACATTGAAACAGTATCCGTTTTGCGAGGGTGGTCATGCAGATGGACCAACGTACTTGTAAACTGTTCTGATCTGTGAAGTGCTGGGCTCCCTGCAAATCCTACCCTTGAGGAGCCTTTCCACCCCTGTGTAGAGAGAAGACTGCCCGTGGTAGGTCAACCCAGGGTGTAAAGGCAGAGAAGGAATGCGGACACTTGGCCTCACTGTCCTGTGTCCCTAACTGACTATGGGAGGGGCCCTGTCAGGATGTGTCCCTGCAGGGGTGAGCCTTGAGTCAGACCTGAGGGGCCCCTTCTGCCCTCAGCTCCTGTGAATTCCTTGGCATCTTCTGAAGGCTCTTACTCGTAGTGGCATAGCCTGCGTCCATTTCCCTGGCTGATCTCATGATCTAGTCACTTACCCACAGGCGGTGCAGAGTCTCTGCCTTCAGCGTGGGCCGTGTCCTTGGTCATGTCCTTCAGTGAGCCTCACTCTCTGGCCTTCACCCTCTGGAGTTGACATCCGAGCACACACACCTCTTGCACAAGTTGCACGTTGGTTCCTCCAGCTGCGGGTTTGGTGAGGACATGGCCAGACATTGCTAAGAACGCCTTGCACAGGTCTCGGGCCACTGTGGGCTTCTGTCCCATCTCCCTCTGCTCTTCTCTCCTAGAATTTTTCATTCCCTTGGCATGACGTCTTCGGTCTGTGCGTGTGGCCCTGTCCCTCTTAGGGGCCTCCTCAGAGGGAGGCCAGCCATGGCCCTCCCCCTGTGGAGTGTGAGTCTGTGCCTCAGGATGAGCCACCCAGTGCTCACCTGATAGACCCCTGGCATGGCTGGACCACAGATGACCAGCTCGGGAAGCAGAGCTGTGGATGGGACGGGCTGCTGGGGGCCCTCCTGGTGGCATGGCGGTGTGGTTCTTCAGCCTTCTCCTGGGCACCGTGCCCTGCCCGCAGCCCTCACCACGAGAATGGCCGGGCCGATGCTGTGCCTCCTAACTTAGGACATAAACACACACGGTGGGAGGATGGACAAGAACACCGGCTGACACTCCTGAGCACGAGGTCTCTCCCCTGTACAGTTGAAGACAGATGCCTTCCCAGGGTCAGGATGGACCTGCTGTCCTCAGCCTGAGTCGGGATGCAGTGCTGGTCACCACTGTTCATGTTAAGCAGGACAGGATGGTTATTCTGCTCATTAATGTAAAGCTGCATTAAAACTGGGGAAGTTTAGCAATAAGATGTTGTCCCATATGCTCCTGGGGACAATAACAACAGGACCTTATAGAATAAATGCCCCAGCATTCTCTTATGTTCAACCACTAGCAGTTTATGTATCTGCCCTTTGTTTCTGAGGGCTGTCAATGTTTTCTACCTTGAAAACAATACCTGAGGCATAATAATATTCACTCCGAGTTTCCACACAGACCTCCTGTTAATGAAGGGCCATCCATCATACACTGTCTTTCATAATGGCACTCAGTGGTTCCATTGGCCTCTGGCTTTTCCCTGGCTCAGACATAATTATGTGGAAGGACAAATTTTAAAACCTGTCGCGGTTTTTAGAACCTGCTTCAAAGTGAAGTCTCCACTAGCTCATGCACTTAAGGACGTGATTGCACTGTGCAGTGTCTGGTTATCCTCTTAAGGTGGCTTCACGGGCTCGCCCACTTCTAAAGTGCACCTGGGTCATGCTGCATGTTTCCACCGATCACTGTATTTCTTGTCTTAGTTTTCTTATATTTTGGAGTCACTGAAGAACAGGTAAAATACTAGTGGGCAGTACTCTCTTTTTACGGAAATTATAATGTGCTTCAAAAAACAGGGCTTCCCCTCTGCCTGGCAGTGTTCCTGGCCCCCTGGCTGCCTGCATGCTCACGCTTAGCTCGTGACTTCCGGCCAGGGCAGCTTCCTCCCCTCTTCACAGGCACACTGCAGACGACCCCAGTCGTGCTTACCCTTTGGAAAGCTGTGTGCCTGGGGTCCACTTCCAGAGTGGATGGGGCAGAGTGGGTTTACGTCCTGGGCTTCACAGCCGGCCTCTGTCCTCTCCTGTTCGCCTGCCTGCCCAGGGATCTCTGGCACTCTGACGGGTCTTGAAGAAAGGCTGCTGCTCCCCACGGTTCAGTGCCCAGGGCTCTCTCTAGCATACGGCCGGCCTGCCCTCTCCCAGGTGTGTCCAAAGCCAGCCACTGACTCTACCCGGATCACCACCAAACCTCACTTGCTGTTGCAGCGACCACCCCACCTCTGCAGACTGTCTGCACCCAGAAGAGAGGGGTCTGGGTAAACTGCCAGGGAGCCTCCTCATGCCGCTGCTCCAGACCAGAGCCTCCCACCTCCCACAGCCTCTCCGTTGCCCCTCCTCTGCCCACAGGCTGTGGGGCTGTGGTGCAGGCCTGGGACGCTCTTTCCTCCCCTGGGAGCCCCACCCGGATTCCCTCAGAGGGCCTCTCAGAGCGTGCCCCCTTGGCCTCCGGTGCCCTGGGGGCCTCTCTGGGCATCTTCCCTGAGTCTCACTGCCACCTGCCCAGGGCTTCCGCCTCCCGCTGTGCTCCATGTTCTGATGCTCAGGGACCCTACCTGGCGTGTGTCCTGGGGGGCGTGGCACACACGCGGACCTCTCCACTGCCGTGTAAGTCCACCCTGTTCTGCCCTCTGCTGGCCGCCAGGGTGCACAGCAGGTGTTGAGTAAGTGAATTTTTGTCGATGGGGTGCTCTCCTCCTGTGTCGGTGGGACGATGAGGATGCTCAGGTTGTGCGGGTGAGGTCTCATTCACACGGCCACCGTCATGTGTTGAGGAAAGTCCAGGAGCTAGCAGGTCAATGGCCCTTTGCTGGAGGAAAGACTGTCTGTTGGGCCTCAGAGCCCTAGAAGTACGTGTTGGAGTCATGGAGGTGTTTGTTCCTGGGGAGTGCTGTCCTCAGGCAGCAGCGTTTGTTGAAGGTTGAGTCAAACTAGAAATTCATTCTTTCATATTTTCAGGGGAAAACCAAACGCAGGAATCCACAGAGACCAGATGCCAAGCAGTCAGAGTTGCCAGGCCTCACGGGCACCCCTGAAGCCGGAGCACTGGGGGCCCCTGCTAGACATGTGCTGAGCCCTGGGTTGTGGGTCTTGTGCCTGCTGTGGGCATCATGAGATTCTGTGAAGGACATGGTGATTGCACAGTTCACAGGGCAGTAGGTACAGTGGTGGGGTCACCGTGCCCTCCTCCTGGGAGGCACCCCAGGACCCAGGAAATGAACTGCTCTGTGTGGGTTTCCTCACCGGTGCTGACAGCCGGTAATACAGGCTCATTGCCAGCCGCACCCTGTGCTCTTGTGGGTCAGAAGACATCCATAGGAAGCTCACTGTGCTCTACACCACTGCTGCAGGAGTCTGCCTGGCACTGAGTCAATGACAGGGGCCTGCCTGTGCTTAGAAAGGTCCCTTGCAGAACCCCAGGTGGCTGGCCAGTGCTTCCCCAGTGGTGCCCGTGGACAGTGGATGCAGAAGGGGCTGGAGTGCAGCCGTTCACAGCCCCGATGATTGGCTACATAGGGCTTCCATGTCCCGCTACCAGGGAGTGGGAGTCATTCCACATCCCCTGATCTTAGCTGGGAGTGGTGCTGTGTGGAGTTTATGCTCTGAGACTTCATTCGGGAAATCATTCCCCACTGACGTTTTCATCAGGCCATAATTTCCCAGGTAACCTGATGTATTGTTGTTCTGTTATTCCTCATGTGAGCAGTCTCCAATAATTAACATGATTTGCTTCACCCATCTAAAACAAATCACATTTTGTTTCATAATGATATTGTTAAAGATCCTAGGCTTGTTATTAAGTGGCCAGGGATGCCTCTAATCATCAGGGTTCCTTT